TTTAGTAGAGGCAGGGTTTCACCATGTTGACCAGGATGGTCTTGATCTCTTGACCTCGTGATCCACCCGCCTCGGCCTCCCAAAGTGCTGGGATTACAGGCTTGAGCCACCGCGCCCGGCTGGAATCGTTTTTAAATGATTTAGTTATATTTGCCCAACTTCTATTATTAATTCATTAGTGAGCTAATATGTTTTTGAATATTTTCAAAAGCAATAATTAAAATATTTCTGGCTTGCCTTTATTTAACCAAAAAGTTTAGTTAATAAAGTACTGCATTTCTCAAATATCAGAGCTTCAATAAATTATAAAGGTGCTGGGTTTTTTTGTAATTATTATTTATAATTTATATCCTAGCAATTTTTTTTCTTACAGACTCTCAAATCACTTTACATATATTAGGAAAATTCACATTATTTGAGGGGGCAAAAGTGGCAAATGTAAGTGGCAGTTCTTCTAAAGTAAAGCAGAGCACCAAGAAAGACACCTAATAAATAGTCATTACCTTAAAGTACCTATGCAATCAGCTTAAATGAACTAAAGACTCTGGTGTGAGTGCACCTGTTTGTGGATAGCTTTTATTACACTGGCCCAAAATGAATAAGACTGTAAAACTTTCTTTTATGGTTTATTTATTTAAAATATTAAAGAAATTAACATCCTCTGCAGACATTTCCTTGCAGCAGCAAAGTACATCAACTGGCTTTTTCATGTTTATTTCCAGCCAACTCAGACAGTAATGCCAGGACAAGTCATGCGGGTTACAACAGGTGCTCCAATACCCTGCGGTGCTGATGCAGTAGTCCAGGTGGAAGATACCGAACTTATCAGGGAATCAGACGACGTACGTCATCACCAAGTCTTATTGTGCTGTTGTTCCTATGGCAGTATTATGTCACAACCATTTTCTGCAATGTTTGTGAGATTAACCCAGTTATTTTGGCTTATGGTGGGATCTTATATTGTAGTATATGAGTCTCCAGTAAATAAGAAATTTCCTTAAGCTTGAAAATCTGTTACTACAGGACGGGTTTCTATGATCATTGCTGTTATGGCAGAATTTGAACCATATTTAACCCAAGCAGTTTCACATGCAAACAAGGAAAAGAAAGTACCTCAAGAAAGCAGAGATATTAATGGTTAACATACCTCCCAGAGCAGAGACATTAATGATTGGCATACCTTCTAGCTGAGAAATTTGCCATTGAGACTAGCTTCTGATAAAATGTCAAGGAGTTCATGAAATTAGAATTTACTAAAGAAGAATTTAACGAAGAACACTTGGGCAAGTTCTTGAATATTACACTAAGCCAAGTATTTGAATCAAATGACCCTTTCACCTCTGGTTTTCTGTAATTCAGGAAAAAGCAGTGCCACCAAATGACAGCCTAGAAATACTAAGTGTATATAAGTTTTCCCTCCATTGCCTCAAATAAAAGATGTTGGGATCTTTTTGGACCTAAGCAAGCCTGTATCACACTGAAAATAGTGGCAAGTTATTGAAACCAGAGTATAAGCCAGTAATAAAAGTAGAATAAATTCAACTGAGGTTTTAATAATAAGCTTACTTGTTTTGTGAAGAAGGTTTAAAGATATATGTTAAAAGCTAAGGTTAAAAATAAACATATATTCCCCCAAGCTGAGAAGATAGTAAAATTTGGCCATGCCAAGAGACAGACGCTTTCCTTGATCTGGAGATTTTCTTTTTAATCACCTTTCCACATACAAGGCTTATAAAATTCAACTGTTGGCCAACAGACCACATTGCCTGCTGTTAAAACTGTCTAAGCAGATTTATTGGCATCAGGGAAGCCAGCAGAGCATTGAAATTCAGAACACATGCATTCGTAGACTCTGCCAGATGACAAGACACAGTTCCAATGTCACAATATTATTCACAGCCCATAAATGTAAAATTGATTATTGCCGTTAATATACAGGAATCTACCACCAGGCAAACTATAAGTCCTTTACTGAAATTTCTGCAGGTATTTGGTAACCTTGGCATGGTATTGAACTCATGATTCATGGGAAAAGAAGAAACATATTATCTCCATGCACACTTTGTTAGGGTAGCCATCTATATCCATCTACATATATATAATATATAAATATATAAAGTATATATATAAATGTACTAGTTCAAATGTTAAATCTTATAAAGCAAGATTTAATATTTCAATTGGTATATTTTTAAAAAACATAAAAATTCGAGCAAAAAAATTTTATTTATTGGCACCAAACCTTCTAATTTTTCAGGAGCCTATGTTAGAAATTCAGTGTTTTCAAAAGGTATGGCAAATAGTTTTTGGTTTCTCTGTATTTGTATATATCCTAGGCCTATCTGATCACAAAAGTATCTGAGTAGCTAAATTCTACTGCTCAGAAATTCTGTTTGAAATTACATAACCTGCTCCTCTTATTATAGGGCACTGAAGAACTTGAAGTGCGAATTCTGGTACAAGCTCGGCCAGGCCAAGATATCAGGTAACTTCAAAACACATACAATATATAGCCCACTTTTGTTTCTTTTCTTTTCTTTTTTTTTTTACACCCATCTCTCTTTAGTCATTGTTTTTTTTGTTTGTTTGTTTTTTGTTTTTTGGGTTTTTTTGGCCCACTTTTGTTTCTACATGATCATTTACTCAGGAAACCCTGGGTACTATAAATCTGTAGCCATGTCAATTAGCCATTAATTTTCAGAGCTTTAACAAGAAGAAAAATGAATTCTGTTTCACATCTCTGCCTTACCTACTTTTTAATGAAGGATGGTAAAGGCAAGTTAGTCAAAAGCAAGATGAGAAAGAGGTAAAGTCACGACCCTACATATTCTATGGTTAATTCTACTCCTAGATAATCCAAAATTACCCAATCCCATCCCTAAGTAATCCAGAATTTGGTATTAACTCAGATAATCCCAGAATTGGACATTTACACAATTAACTTATAGCATATGCTCTACTGAGCACCAATAATAAGGGAATAATCTGCACCTCTTTATATACAAAGATGACGCTATTGTCCTATAATAAATAGTGTGTATACCTTAAATTATTTTTCTTACAATGGAATATGTTTACCTTGATTCCATTAATACTAATTTGCTGAACATCCCTTTGTAACGAAACTACACTTCTCCCATCCTTATGGCAGCACACCAAGGTGAATGTACCTCTGTGGCCACAGATCAGGACCAACCTAAGTGGAAATTACCTCTATGACCGTAACCTCATTAGCATTATTCTCCTTGCCACAAAGCTAGCCAGCTGTGGACCTCTTATCATCAATGCTGCTAGATACTTTGATACAGATTTTTGCCTAATCAAAGAAAGTTTGCAATTGGTAGTTTTACTATAATGTAGCACAAAACAATTTGTAATTTTCTTCACAGGTACTCAAGAAAACAAAATTTCAAATATGAAGTCACAGGTTCTTCTTTAGCAGTAATATAATCCAATCCTATTTCTGTTTTCTGTTGTGTGATTTAACTTTTAAAATTAAAAAAGCATAGGATTTTTAGAATCCCTTCATTTCATTATTTTTCTACTACTTTATTTCTTGACTTTTTTCTCCTCTTGAATGTCCTCCTCTTTTGACACTAAAGTTTCCCTCATGAGTTGAGAAAATGTTGTTCTTAATCACACTGTTTATGGTTCTGCTTTGACTTTCAGACCCATTGGCCATGACATTAAAAGAGGGGAATGTGTTTTGGCCAAAGGAACCCACATGGGCCCCTCAGAGATTGGTCTTCTAGCAACTGTAGGTGTCACAGAGGTTGAAGTTAACAAGTTTCCAGTGGTTGCAGTCATGTCAACAGGGAATGAGGTATTAAAAATAAAAGTGGGGGGAGGGTCTGTAAGATAAAGGTATTTCTGACATCTGTTTTGTGTTGTAAATAGAATGTTGTGTATTATAGATCATACCAGTGGATCCACATTCTTGTAGCAGAGAAACCATAAATTGAACTTAGGATAGTTTCAAGCTCAGAATATGAAGAACAAGGAAGAACCAGTAAAAAAATATGTATTATGAAATGTTCTCTTCTACTTACTAGAATGAAATATTATAACCAAAGGCCTTTCCACATATTCAGTATACATAAACAAAGAATTTCAGCTGCTAGCTATAGATATTAAACTATGCAAACTCAGTACTGAGTCCGTTAAGATAATGAATTGTGCCCATCCTGCTATTGAAATGATAGGCAACTTCTGTGTGGTAAGTATCAGTGAATCAGGACATCATGGCCAGCACTTCTTGTAAAAAGTTTCATGTAATCTTTAATCACCAAGAGGGACTTGATAATCAGGTTTTCTCTCTCTCCCTCTAGAGCATCTCTAGTGGCATGGTATTCAGAATGGGTCAAAATGTCATTTCATTCCTGATTTAGAAAAGAGAATTCAGTCCATCTGTCTCTGAGAACTCTTGAAAAACTTCCTATTGCCTGTTTTGCTTAGGTTATGCAAAACTTCAGTCAGAAACTCTAAGGTCAAATGGAGAATAGTAAAAAGTGAATCTGCTGGAAACTCAGAACCTTATAGAAGAATCAGAAACTATTGAGATTTTTAAAGTATTAATAATTCCTCTGACCTTACTATTACAGAAAAATTAATGGGATTTTAAAAAACCTCTTTGTTCTGAAAATAAACCCTCATTATTTTTAATTTCTTGAAGTCTTGGAAATGAAAATTTTCAAAGGTCGTTTTAGGACCTTATAGTTCTTTTGGTTAAAGCAAAAGAATAAACTATTTTATTTTGCTAATGGAGAGCTAAATCAGCATTCCAGATGTGCTTACTTCCAAGGATACATGTATTTATCATTTCTAAAAATTATCAGTTGACAGAAAACAAACATTCTTTTTAATTTGATCTACACAGTGATGATTTTAATATCCTTTGGACCAAATAACACTATATTTATCATCAGAAATAAATTTCTGTTAAACTGGCTGACTCATGAACCATTCTCTTTTATGATTTACTTACATGCTTTGTGCATCAAGTAAGTTCATGGAGTTTGAGAAAGCAAAACAGAATTAGCACACTCATGGCCCAGGCGTGGTGCCTTACACCTGTAATTCCAACACTTAGGGAGGATCAGTTGAGACTAGGAGTTCAAGACCAGCCTGGGCAACATAGTGGGACCCTACCTTTACTAAAAAATTAAAAACAGCTGTGCATGGTAGCACATGCCTTTAGTCCTAGCTACTGGGGAGGCTGAGGAGGGAAGTTCACTTGAACCCAGGAATTCAAGGCTGCAGTGAGCTATGATGGCACCACTGCACTCTAGCCTGGGTGAAAGAGTAAGACCCTTTCTCAAAATAAAGTAAAATAAGAATTAACACACTCATAAATAACTATTTAGTTAATAGGAAACTTTGTTTAAGCTATATTGCTCATATTTCCCTCTCATGAGTCCAGCTTTTATAGGGCCAGACTCATTCTCTCAATTATCCCACAGAGCATATTTTTAGTTTTTTTTTTTTAAGCCACCTTTTAAACTCAATTAAAACTATTTACTGGAAGTAGGCTAAGGTGATGGTATGAGAATAGAGATGGTACTTATATCATGAAATCTAAGGAAGAGTTTGTAATCTTACTTCCCTGCCCCCATAGAGCTTATTATTCTTGAAGAGGCTTTGACTAGTTCTGCATGACTCATTCCCCTACTTAAACAGGCCTGTTATATTAAAGTATACCACAGTTTTCCAAGAGAATAATGCTTCTAAATTCTAGAATCTCTGGTCCCATATAGCTCAACATTCCTCCCTTTTTCCCATTCAAAGTTAGTTTTTATTATGACTCTATAGGTTAGTATTGTTCAACAGATAATTGCTACCTCTGTGCCAGGCATTATAGTGGAAATTGGTGATAAAAGAGATAAATAAAGCATATTATCTCTCCTGAAGGCTTGAGATTCACAGACACCCAGAAAACAATAGCAAAAAAAAAAAAAATCATTTATTTTCAGAAAGGGCAAAAGAAATTGCACTTAATGTGGCAAGGCCATAATTTACCCAATCACAGTACAAACTTCCCTTAAGTATTGGTTTTAGTTTCCTTTGATACATATGGTTTCTAGCCAGGCATGGTAGCTCACACCTGTAATCCCAGCACTTTGGGAGGCCAAGGCAGGCAGATCACTTGAGATCAAGAGTTTGAGACAAGCATGGCTAACATGGCGAAATACCGTCTCTACTAAAAATATAAAAAAATTAGCCGTATATGGTGGTGTATGCCTGTAGTCCCACCTACTTGGGAGGCTGAGGCAGGAGAATTGCTTGAACCCAGGAAGCAGAAGTTTCAGTGAGCTGAGATCATGCCACTGCACTCCAGCCTGGGTGACAGAGCGAGACTCCCTCTCAAAAAGAAAAAAAGATATATATGCTTTCACATATGTCCACTTTTTGAATCTCATATGACATATTGGTAGGCAGGACAGTTGCCTTGGCAACCCAAAGAATAGCCATACAAGATGTCTATGTATACTCCTTAAAAACTGCCCAGTATTTTATTACTGTATGAGCTTGTTAAAGACCAGGAAATTTTCAAAATTGGGGATATAGTTATCAACTATAGCTAATATGGAATAGCTGGTTTAGATATTTGTTGGTTTCAACAAACTGTGCATATTAAAATTTAGATATGCAACCTGTGGTGGTTCATGCCCATAATCCTGGCACTTTGGGAGGCTGAGATGGATGGATCACTTGGAAGCTAGGAGATTAAGACCAGCCTGGACAATATGGCAAAACCCTGTCTCTACAAAAAATACAACAATTAACCAGACACAATGGTATGCCCCTGTAGTCTCTGCTACTCAAGAGGCTGAGGCAGAGGTTGCAGTGAGCAATGACCATACCACTACACTACAGCCTGGGAGACAGAGAAGGACCCTGTCTCAAAAAAAAAAGAGAAGAAAGCGTGAGGGGGGAGAGAGAGAGTGAGAAAGAGAGAAAAAAGAAGAAGAGAGAGAGAGAAGAAATAAAAACAGCAGTGTATACTGCTCAGGAGATGGGTACACCAAAATCTCACTAATCACCACTAAAGAACTTATTCATGTAACCAAATACCACCTATTCCCCCAAAAAGCTATTGAAATAATTTTTTTTTTTAAAAAGGAAAACTCATTCAGAATAAAAAAAGAAAGAAAAAGAGTCTTGCCATTTTGCCCAAGCTGGCCTTAAACTTCTAGGCGCAAGTGATCCTCCCACCTCAACTTCCCAAGCAGCTGAGACTATGGGCTCATGCTACCACAGCTGCTTCACAGGACAGTTTTAAGCCAAAATTATTAAACCAGTCAAATCTGTCCAGAGTCATCTTAATGGAAATATTATATTAATTATTTTCTAACATAATTTGTGAACCTCTGTTTTTCCAAAACAAATTCTTAAAGACTCCTTAAATTATGTTTAAAAGCTCTGAATGTTTCTCTTCCCTTCTTATCTTATAACCTAGTAAGCAAGGCAATTAGCTTAACTCTCAGTTAAACCTCTTTTTTTCCCTCAGAGTTTTATTAAAAGCTATTTGGAGCAGCAACATGCTTCATCAGAGCTCATTGACTTTTCTCCCTCTTTTTGTGTTAGACCTATTTATCTGAACTATCTGGTATTCTAAGGTATGTCCATAATAGCCAGAATTGAATTTTGATCAGTTAAAAAGTTAAGTTTCCAGAAGACAGAGAAAGAAAGTGAAATGATTACCACAAATATGTAAAGAGCTGACCACTATAAATGTCTAATCATCTTCTCTTTGAAAAGAGGGGAAAAGTATTAAATGCAAGCAAACCCATTTCAATACATGAGAAAGAAAGGGAGGGTCATTACAGCCAGTTCAAATAGTGTCTTAGGCCCTTGATAATTCCCTCAAGACTATCGGATTAATTAAGTCTCTAAAAGTACTTTTAAGTGAATAATTGTGGTTATATCAAAAGTACTTCAAAATGGCCACTGCAATTCCAAGTTGTCCTTGATGAAATTATGCTTTTTAGAAAGATAAATTTGTGAAAAAAAAAACAGAAGCCAGAGTTATGCCTGGAGATAGTGCAAGTTTATTATTAAATGAACCTATGAATTCATTAGCTAATGGTCATTCAAAAGGGAAAAATAGCACTTAAACAGTGTATCCAAAGTCCTCTACAGTAAAGGTTGGACCCCTGACAGCTAACTCTAAAAATCAACAAGCTAGAATGGGTAGAGAGGAAATTTCTCCCAAAGCCAGTTTCTCATAGGCAAAACTAAGAAAAGTTCTTATAGGCACAAAACAATGTGGCCAATTGACAGATAGGATGGCCAGTTTCAAATCAATACTTTAGCAGACCTTTAGTAGGAAAAACAAAAATTAGTATACATCCAATCAGATAACCAAACAATTCTGGAAACGTTATACTTAGAACAAAATCAATATCAGCTGTCTTTGGGAGTTCAACAAAAAAGGATCAGACCTCAAAACAAGGGCTGGAATTATCTAAGCATCATAGACAAGGAATCCCGCAAGCAAAAAGCCTTAAGAGACCTCACTGAAATACAGTATAACCAATAATAAAACTGGTGGCAAGGTTTCCTGCCTAAGTCTTGATAGGATTTTCCTAATACCAAAATCCTAATACAAAGACCACCAGGGAAACCTGTTAATCATACAAAATGGTTATATTAAAGTTTCTGAACAAAAGAAAACATCACCTTGGCAATGTTGGGGAGGAAAAAATAATATTTCCTCTAATCTTAAGAGTTCTTACCTGTGACCTCTATAAAAGACATATTAACAACAACAAAAAACAAAAACAAAAAAAAACAGAAGTTACTTAACATGTATATGTGGCATTTTAAATAATTTCAGAGCATTTTAAGTAATTTTAAAAAAAAATACAGAATTAAATGGAAGAGTAGTATAAGGTTAAATATACTAGAATAAACTCACAATTTTCCCTTTTAAAACTGAATCTTATTTTCTGTTATACTTCCCAGTCGTCTTGGGAATGATGTGACATCTTAGGAATAATGATCTCCCATGTATACATGGGGAGAGATACCCAAAGGAAAATTAGTAACTCCTGAAGTGATGGCTGAGAAGTCTGGCTTAAATAACATCTTCAAAATTAAAAAACAACAAAACAAAACAAAAAAAATAGCATCTTCAGCAAAGAACAATACATTCTTGGAGAAGTGATGAGACACACAAAAAAATAAAAGGACCTTGAGTCTCTAGGGCCGGCAATTTGTGGGAAAGCAAATATATGGGAAACTAATGATAGATTAAAGGCTAGTTAATAAAGTTTGATATATAAACTCTGGTGCCATCTGCAGGCTAAGTGTCCAAAGATTTATCCCTCCTGGGTGTTGGGAAAGATAGGTTTGTTAACTTATGTCCTACTTTTAGGCAAATTAGGAGAAAGGCAGAGACCTTTTCTTATATTTTTCTTCTCAGCGCCTTCAGCTCAAAAATAATTGTTATGCCAAACTGGCATATTTTGGGATGGCATATTCTGCTACCCTTCAACAGAGTCTCAGTAATGTTTCACAACTGGGAAGTCATAAAATTTTATGAGGGTGTTTATAGGATTTTGAGGACTAGGGTTGATCATGGGGTAGTTTTAACGTAGAATTTATTAAGCAAGGTCTGAGCAGAGACTGGTCAGAATCTGTAAGATAGGTGAATTGGAGGATCACAATCCGTCTTATCTTCAGAGCATATGAGTCCATGTGGAGTTACTGTTAAAACAAGTTGTCCATGAGCTTATCTTAAAGTATATAGATCTGAACAAGCTTGTATTAAAAGCAATTTAACGTAAGGTAGTTCAAGTTACATGTCTTGGTTTAGTACAGTTTAGCTGTTATGCAAATAATGGTATACTTTTGCAAGTTGAGGTTTCTGTTTTATTTCTCAGAAGGAAATAGTTTATAGGCAAGGCAGCCAGTATAAGGCTTTCACAGAAATTTAGGCATAATATAATGAATGCTTAGAATTGTTTTGGGGGGTAGTAAGAGAGTGAATGAAAATGTAGGGCCAAGGAAGAGATGGATTAAAATATTCTTAATGATTGAGGCCTTTGGAAAGAGTGGAGTACAAAGGAGAAAAAGAGAATTAAATGTTTAAAAAGTGGAAAGATAGTGGCCAACTGTGGTGGCTCACACCTCTAATCCAAGCACTTTGGGAGGCTGAGGCAGGTGGATAACCTGAGGTCAGGAGTTCAAGACCAGTCTGGCCAACATGGCAAAACCGAGTCTCTACTAAAAATGCAAAAATTAGCTTGGTGTGGTGGCATGCACCTGTAGTCCCAGATACTCGGGAGGCTGAGGCAGGAGGATTGCTTGAACCCAGGAGGCAGAGGTTGCAGTGAGCTGAGAATGAACCACTGCACTCCAGCCTGTGTGATAGAGTAAGACTCAATCTCAAAAAAAAAAAAAAAAAAAAAAAAAAAAAAAAAGGTGGGAAGATAGTGGCACCATTGATAGTACCAAAAATAGGAAATTGAACTTGGTGGCTTGATATGGAGATGATGGGTTATGTTTTGTTTTACTTTTTGTTTTGAAACTATAATACATTTCAGACATCATTCCCAAGATGACTGGAAGTATAACAGAAAATAAGATTCAGTTTTAAAAGGGAAAGTTGTGAGTTTATTCTAGTATATTTAGCCTCATACTCTTCTATTTAATTCTGTATTGTTTTCTTTGAAATTACCTAAAATGCACTATAAATCCTACACCCTCATTTAACTAGCTATTATTTCATTATGTCAATTTTACAGACAAATAACTGGTTCTCCAGTGATCTCTAATTATCTGTTATTTCTGGAACTGTTTGCAGCAAAATAACAGAGAAGAGCATGAATAGCAAAGAAAACACCCTGATAACAGAGGAACCTTAATGGTCAGCACCCTGCTTTGAAAAAAAAATGATATAACCAGTTTTCTTTCTAAAGCAACTGGTTTGATTAATGGAGTTAAAGAGCTGCAAGCCTTGCCCCTTATAAAATGATAATCACTTTAATAACTGTGTTAATTAAGATCAGAAAGTTAATCTATATTAGCATTGCAATAGCAATTTTCTAAGCACTGCCAGTGAGTAAGAATGAAAGTGGGTTGCAATGTCACATGGCATCTGATTAAGTTAAATTAGTACAGTATTTGAAGGGAAGACTCCCTGGTGACACTGAATAAGATGGTCAGAGTTTTCCTGTAGTCTATTGGAAGGGGACAGTTGGTTGCGAAACTTCTGCTTTTCCAATAGAAAGTCAAAAGTCCAGCCACATAATATCACTAATGAGTCTGAAGGAAGATCAGGGGCTTGTGATTACTGTTTGGGAGAATTCATATATGAAGCTCTGGTGTTGGCCATATTAGTATCTTAAACATTTTAAATGTGCAGGCTTGCCTTTAACCTTCTAAATTAGTAGTCCAGGTTTTCTCACTTCAAATAAGTACTTTTTTTTTTTTACTTTATAATTTCTGAAATCAAAGCATATCTTAAAACTGATACATAAATTGCTGTAAGAATGTGTGTGTGCTAAGGACCCCTTACTCTTAGGCATTTTATAATTTAATAGTCTGTGTTCACATTATAAACTAATTTCATCTGTACTAGCATATAGGGGTAACAATATGAGAACAATTGGGAGGAAAGCAGGTGTTCTTTCAACATCATATGTCATAAAGAAAGGAAAGAGAATCACATTTATTGTACATTTATCTGCATAAATTGAGTGTTCATTATCTCAATGCTAACAATTACCTTGCAAAGTAGTTATTATTACTATATTTTATAAATGAGAAAATTAAGACAATTTTGTCAACTTGAATTTGAACCCTGTTTTAACCCAAAGCTCTTCCAACTGTACAATCTGACTACCTCACTGGAACATCCTAAGATAAAATAAGCTTCTTTAATTTTCTTCATAGACATAGTAGGTATTAAATCTCTAAAGGTTAATTAAGTTCAGCATAATGGAATTGTGTGTACATGTAGCTAAGTATTAAGTTTGCTAGTATCAGAGACAAAACATCTGTCGTCTTCTCCTTCATGTAAGCTTAACTTCTTTGATACTGTTGACCCCACTTCAGGAAATAGACCAAAAAGTTTGAAAGAAAATATAAACAATTATTCTGTTCAAACTTAAGAATGTCATGTCACACAATGTATACCCTAAATATTCCCAATGAAAGACAAATTGAAAAATAATATTGGGAGAAAAAAAGATAATTGTTTTATTTAGTTTGGCCATCTCCAGAGCATTATTATCCAATTGGAGTGAAACTGGTAGGATATTTGGCCTGCAGTTCAATCACCGGTGAAATTTCTGAGTGTTTTTTGAATTTTTTGAACATTTTCTCATCCTACTATAATTTCGATATTTATTTAACTGACACAAGAACAGAAAATCAAACACTGCATGGTATCATTCATAGGCGGGTGTTGAGCAATTAGAACATGTGGACACAGGGAGGGGAGCATCACACACTGTGGTCAGTTGGCAGGGACTAGGGGAGGGACAGCAGGGGGTGGGGAGGGATAATGTGGGGAGAAATACCAGATATAGGTGACGGAGGGAGGAAGGTAGCAAACCACTTTGCCATGTATGTACCTATGCAACAATCCTGCATGATCTGTACATGTACCCCAGAACCTAAAGTGCGATTAAAAAAAAAAAAAAAGATCCTTTGGGCATTCACCTTCAAAATGCCAGATACTGTTGTAGGTGCTAGATGTGCTAAACTCTGTTTAGTGGATCTTTTTTTGTTAGAAATATGCAACATTATCCTAATAGAATAATTTGTGGTGGTTTTTTGGCTTTGTAGCTGCTAAATCCTGAAGATGACCTCTTACCAGGGAAGATTCGAGACAGCAATCGTTCAACTCTTCTAGCAACAATTCAGGAACATGGCTACCCCACAATCAACTTAGGTATTGTAGGAGACAAGTAAGTGTTGGATGTTATTCTGGAAAGTTTTTATTGTACAAATATGAGTTTTTGGAGTACTCACTACATGGAGTTGCTGCTAAAGAGATAGAAACTTAATGTCATAATTTTCACTTACCTCATTCTTCAGAACCCAAAGAATTATGGAGGTATCTGTGTCCTTTAGAGATAAAGATTTCTTGGAATGCCTCTGAAAACAAGAGAAATACTTTACTTTCCTGTAGGTGTGTTAGGTTTCATAGGACTTTTTTGTAATAGTGTTGGCTTTATCCCAGTGGAGCTGATGGTGATGGCATTATTCTGATTCATATTTTTACCTCTTTCAAGAAAGACAAGAAAAACATAGGTAAGAAGAGAAAGCAAGATTGTCAAAATTAGCACTACCTAATTATTTGAAGTTTAAGTACAATTGTTTCTATGACTTCTGTATTGATTTTTGTATCTTTATGTAACCTGTTTCTCCAGGCTTCACCTACTTCAAAGTGCAAAGGGAAGCACATTGACTGTAATTACTCATCTTTAAGAGCATATTACCCCCATCTACTGAATTAACTCAGCCCTCTGCTAGGTTTTCTAAGTATTTCTGTGAATCTCCAGTGCTGTCTCACATGTGATCAAAAGCAAGTCTACACTTTCTGAACATCCCAGTATCATGCAACACTGTTGCCTGGCTATCTTTCAAACTCTTTCCAATTCAATAGAGCTACACCTGCTTTTAGTAATACTCAATCATCAACCCAGTGGAGACAAGGCTAAGAGACAGATCTGAGTGATAAATACCCATGATGTATCCATCACCTAAAATCCCCTTTCTCCCTTATCACTACCTCATCACTGAGTAGACCTCATTAAGCATGGATCTTTCTTCCCTTATGATGAGTACCTTCCCAAAACTCAAATGTGCTTTTGAAGAGGTTCTGACCTACCATTCACAGGGTATGCTCTGACAAGGCATGCTATGAACTTTATCTTAGGCTCGAACTAGACACAGTCTAAACTAAGCTTGTCCAGGCCAGGCGCAGTGGCTCATGCCTCTAATCCTAACACTTTGGTAGTCCAAGGTGGACAGATTGCTTGAGACCAGCAGTTTGAGACCAGCCTGACTAACATGGAAAAACCCCATCTCTACTAAAAATTTTAAAAATTAGCTGGGTGTGATGGATCATGCCTGTAATCCCAGCTGAGACATAAGAATCACCTGAGCCTGGGAGGCGGAGGCTGAAGTGAGCTGAGACCGCAACACTGCACCCCAGCCTGGGCAACAGTGAGACTCTGTCTCAAAAAATAAATAAATAAACAAATAAACTAAGCTTCTCCAACCCTTGGCCCATGGGCCACATACAACCCAGAACAGCTTTGAATGTGGCTGAACACAAATGTGTAAACATTCTTAAAACATTATGAGATTTTTTTGTGTGTGTGTGATTTTTTTTTTTTTTTTTAGCTCATGAGCTATCATTAGTGTATTTTATGTGTGGCCCAAGACAATTATTCTTCCAATTTGGCCCAGGGAAGCCAAAAGATTGGACACCCCTGGTCTAAACCTTGGACATAGCACCTTACCAGTAACCTGAAAGGTAGTGGGTTTTATGTCATGTAACCTTTTGAAGTTCTCTTCTTTCCTTCTGATTTTTTTTTTCTTTCTATGAGGTCACTGGAGTAGAAGCTGATGCATTTTCAAATGTCATTCTTTTTAAAATCTTCACCATTTGTATTTACATGGATGTTTAGTTCTAAAGAAGTTTGGCTGGAAATGGTGGCTCACGCCTATAATCCCAGCGCTTTGGGAAGCCAAGGCAGGTGGATCACTTGAAGTCAGGAGTTCAAGACCAGTCTGGCCGACATAGTAAAACCCATCTCTACTAAAAATACAAAAATTAGCTGCCAGGAGGCAGAGGTTGCAGTGAGCTGAGATCACACCATTGCACTGCAGCCTGGCTAACAGAGTGAGACTCCATCTCAAAAAAAAAAAAAAAAAAGTTCATCAGTAAGTAACCAGCCAACTTAGAACCCATGCTTGTAAAGCCAGCATATAGGTTACCTAGCATCACCCTGTCCAGGGTCCCTAATCCAAGGAAGGGAATAGAAATAACCTACTTTAGAAAAGGAAAAAAAAGGAAGGAAAGGGAAAAACAAAGCCAGTAATTTGAATTTGGGCCTGAGCAGTAACCTATCCTTTCAGATACAAGTACCTAAAAACTATCCTATGTAGATACAGCTTTTTCAAAGACCAAAATCAGCCTCTCAGAAGAGATGGGATAAATCCAAGAATTTGAAAACACAAAGATAAGGCAAGCAGGCCTGAAACTTCCTGGAACAAAAAACCAGATTCTTAGGGTTATTTCCCTCTTACCAGTAGCTCTGGCGCTACCTCTAAGTGTGTTAATGAGCTCTAAGAAATATCAAAAGGGAGAAGGGAACTTTTCAATTATTTTTACCCTAAGTTGTTTGAGACTATAAGTCTGTCCATTCTCCCTCTTACTGTTATACTTTTGTATTTTTTTAAAAAGAGGTTACTTAATATACTATATATACTGCCATTATCTTAAAGTACTCTAAAGGCCAAAACATCATTGAAAGTCTAACATGTTGGTATGCTGATATTTGTCTGGGGTCCACAATGTTAATTTATGGTGGATATTTTCTAATAATGTTGGTATTACATTTAACTCCAAAATATACTTTGAAAAAAGTATAAAGAACAACAAAACTAGGCCGGGCGCAGTGGCTCAAGCCTGTAATCCCAGCACTTTGGGAGGTCGAGGCAGGTGGATCACGAGGTCAAGAGATCGAGACCATCCTGGTCAACATGGTGAAACCCCGTCTCTACTAAAAAATACAAAACATTAGCTGGGCATGGTGGTGCGTGCCTGTA